AAGGGTTACTAGCCCATTGTTCCGGCATTTTAGTTGACTTTTACAACACCCCATGGCTTACGGAGGAAAGATTCTATTCCATTTCCCCATGGATATAAAAGGAAAATTAATAAGCCCAAGAACTATTAAGATAAAATCAAAGAAAACTCAGATGAGTGTGTATAAATAAATGTGTACAGTATGTGTAGTGTGACCTAAGTGTAAGTGAAGTAGCAAGACATGCCTGTAATCTTGCATATTTATGAGACAGACAAAAGACATCAGCAATCCTACCATCATGTAAAAACAATCACAGGCTTCGTTTTACACTCACTTGGTAGGACGGTAGTACCTCCCGGTGGTTGCTGTCTACGAACCTACTACATTATATATATTAAATATATTTTATATATATATATATATATATATATAATATTATATATATATATATATATATATATATATATATATATATATCTATATATATATATTATATTTAAAATATATATTTTATATATATATTTTTATAAATATATATATATAAAATATATATATATATTTTTTATATATATATATTTTTTATATATATATAAATTTTTTTTTTTTTTTTTTTCAACAAGTCGGGGCCGTCTCCCCCCGAGGCAAAGGGGGACCCAAAAAGAAAGAAAATCCAAAAAGAAAATACTTTCATTTTATCATTCAACACTTTCACCACACTCACAAACTATTTACTGTTTTTGCAGAGGTGCTCAGAATCAACAGCTTAGAAGCATATACGTATAAAGATACACAACACATCCCTCCAAACTGCCCAAAATCCCCAAACCCCCCCTTTGAAGTGCAGACATTGTACTTCCCATTTCCAGGACTCAAGTCCGACTATATGAAAATAACCGATTTCCCTGAATCCCTTCACTAAATATTACCCCGCTCACACTCCAACAGATCGTCAGGTCCCAAGTATCATTCGTCTCCATTCACTCCTATCTAAAAACGCTCATGCAAGCTTGCTGGAAGTCCAAGCCCCTCGCCTACAAAACCTCCTTTACCCCCTCTTTCCAACCCTTTCGAGGACGACCCCTACCCCTCCTTCCTTCCCCTATAGATTTATATGCTTTCCATGTCATTCTACTTTGATCCATTCTCTCTAAATGACCAAACCACCTCAACAACCCCTCTTCTGCCCTCTGACTAATGCTTTATTAACTTCACACCTTCTCCTAATTTCCACACTCCGAATTTTCTGCATAATATTTACACCACATACATACATACATACAAACTTTAAAACACTTGAAATTTTGAGATGTTTCCAGTTATAGTGGAGACAGCGGCACGTGGAGGCTGTAAAAGCTGTAAACTGCTCTATTAATAATTTATACTACCACTAGTGATAATTTCTTATTTTTTTTTATTAACACTTTGGCCATTTCCCACCAAGGCAGGGTGGTGACCCAAAAAAGAAGAAACACTTTCATCATTTACTCCATCACTGCCTTGACAGAGGCATGCCTACACTACAGTTAAAAAACTGCAACACCAACACCCTTTTAACCCTTTGACTGTTGCAACCACATATTCTGAGGTGTCTTCTGGTATCACAAAATCTTTGAAAAAAAAAAAAAAATGTATTTTTTCTTATGAAATGATAGAGAACCTTCCCTGATGGTAATGGCACCAAAAGCACAAAATCTGATGGAAAACTTATGGAATTATGCTCTCGCAGAGTTAGCGGTCATGATATTTATGCATCGGCAATTTTGCCCAATTTAAGCCCTACTTTGGACCAATTTCGTTTTTCCAATCGACTAAACTCATAGCTATTTCGCTGGAACTCCATTCGTTCTATCGACTGAGTACAGGAAACCGCCCATTTATTGATTTCAACCACCCAATAAAGTGGTCAGAAATTGGCAATTTGGCCAATTTCATGCAAATTAAAAAATATGTCAATTTCAAAATAGGGTCCAGAATGAACAACGCAGACATTCCTGGCACTAAAATAACATTTTCTCTGTTCATCAGTCATGTCTCCAGGCCCCTGTTATAATCCTCTTGCTTTCTATTTTGAATTTTTATTCACACAAAAAATAGAAGATTTACTGATATCCAGACTACTGCAATATTGTAATAATTGTATAAATAATGTCAACCCACTGAAGACTGCATATCAGAATGGCCAGTTGGACATTTATTGGACAATGACGTCATTTGTTTACTCTTTGAACATCCACAAAAATCGAACATTTCTGCCACTTTGAGCTCCATTTCAAGATCCTTTTCATAGTAAAATCAATCAAATCACTTCTATTTCTATAACATGTTTTCCATTCTATCAAATGAGACCAAGAAAACAAGAATACAATCATAAATACTATACGAAAATACACCTCAAAGTCGGCATTTTAATCCAAAAACACAGTTGGAGTTTTTTTCTCATTATGCACTGCATGCTGCAGGATTTTTTTTATACTGCAAACACTTACCACACAGACCCATCCTCTCACATTTAGGCCTACCAACTTTCTCCTGCTTGATTTGAAATCGCTAGAATTTTTGAGTATACATACGTCAAACACATTAACTCGTAAGACGTATATATACGACCAAAACAGTCAAAGGGTTAAGAATGTGATTAATAAAACTTTGCACATCAACAGAAAAAAGAGGGGGAGTTTCTTCACATATTTTTTATGGGTTGCATGGCTACATTTGCCAGCTGCAAGAATCTACAGCATAATATCACTTAATTTGAGAAATTCCACAAATATAATGGGGACTTTAAGAAAGGAAACAGATGGGAAGCATTGAGCTACAGGCCTGTTTCAATAACATGCATACCAGGGAAGGTAATGAAGGAAATCAGGAGAAACAGAGCATTTGATGAGAAGTAGTTTTATAAACAATAACCACCACAAGTACAGAAGTGACAAATCTTGTCTTACCAATCTGTTAGAATTCTATGACAAGGTAATAGAAATGAAACAACAGAGAGCAAAGGATCGATTGCATTGCCTTAGACTGTAAGAAGGCATTTAATTCTGCACCCTGCTAAAGACTGGAAGTGCAGGCAGGAATAACAGGGAATGTACTTGCACCGGTGCAAAGAGTACCTTAGGGTGAGGAAGAAAAGTGATTGTCTGAGAAGAGATGTCACAATGGTGGAAGAACAACAAGTGCGATTCTGCAAGCATTGGAACTAGAACCAATACTGTTTCTGGTTCATGTGAATGACATACTAAATGGAACTGAGTCAGGTGCATCTTTGTGCTGATGATGTAAACTAAACAGGAGAATAAAAACAGATGAAGGCAGAGAAAAGCTGCAAAATGATCTGGATAAACTGCAAATGCAAGGTTATGAAGATTGGGAAAAGGGGACCAGAAGACTGGATACTGAGCACAGACTCAGGGACCAGTTACACATCTCAAGAGAAAAACCTAGGAGTAACCTTAGTGCCTACTATATGACCAAAGGCTCACATCAGCTGAATAACCACTGCAGCCAATGATCATCTGGCAAGTCTCAAAGTTATTCTGAGCCATTTATATAATAAATGCCAGCCACATCTTGGAGTACACAACAATATAAAACCCGCTACTGTAAAAGAATGTTAGGTAAATGAACAGAGTGCAGAAGTATGCAAGGAGACTTGTTCCAGAGCTAAGGGATATGACCTATGAGAAAAGGGTAATGAAATTAAATCTAATAACCAGGGAAGATATACAAAATACTTAGAGGAATTGATAGGATAGACAGGGACAAACCCTGAGAAGCGAGAAACAGGTACTCAGGGACACAGCTGGAGTTTAAGACACAGATGAACCATATGGATGTCAGGAAGTCATTCATTGGTCTCAGAGTGGTTGGGAAGTGGAATAATCTTAAGTGGTGGAGGCAGATTCCACAGTTTTAAAAGTAGGTATGATAAGGCCCACAAGGCTAGATGGGAATGAGTCTGTCAAGCAGCAAGTTGATGGGTGGGGCCAGGAGCTAGGATCTGATAGCTGCAATCACATACAGGTAAACACACATACAAAGCTCATCATTAATTAATACCTTACCCTATTAGGTTTTTGGGAAGATGAAAAATTATACCAATGTCACAATTTGTAGTGGGCAGTCTTTGGATTTCCTGAGGCTACTGGCTACATCCTATATGCCTTCTAGGCTTGTGATGTTGATATTCTGTCTGTGGTCTGCCTGTATTGTGTGGTCCTGAGGGCTGAGTTTGTAAGGCATTTATGGCTACTGACAAATAAATATGGGAAGGAGTAAGTCACTGACACAAGAGACAATTGCACAGACCACTGGATTACACAAAGCAGGCCTTCAAACAGAAGAAATAGTAGAAGCCATCAATGTGTGTGAGCATTCAGTGAGGATCTGGTTGTGTCCATTCTTTGATGATAGTGATGGTAACACGCCCACACCAAAAGCATATCCAAGGAAGCCTAGAAAAATGTCACCACTAAAGTTATTTGAAATAACATATCTAGAATTGTTGTGATCATTTGCTCAAATCTTTCAGTGCAGTTCAATGATTTTTATGTAAGAAAGTGCTCCTTGCCACATAGTGAAATATGCTGTTCAGTGGCTTCTTGACTATGGGGTACCCTTCTTTGATGACTGGCCAGGAAATTACCCAGACAAACTCCACTAAGAACCTCCGGGCTGTGATTGAGAGATCTATTATGGGAAGGATATCAACCCATTCACACAGCTGGAAGATACCAGCCGTGAGTCACGGGGAAAATTTGCCCCACAAAAACCTGAAGCATGCGTGTTAATTACTTTCTAGATGATTGAAAGACGTCCTAAAGCACAAGGGACAACCTATTATGTGGTTGTGGTCTTAGAGGAGAGAGCCGGCATACATTAATAATGAGTACTGTACACAAAATTATAAACAGCAAAAATAATTATAGAAAGTTTTATCAGTACATGTATATGTATACAAATTCATATGAAGGAAATTGGTTATGAACATATAATTCAATAATCCTGTTCAAAAAACTTACCTAAATGCTCTGGTCGAGTAAACCGATCTAAGCAGTCAGCAAGAGAAGTGGGAACTGTTTTATCGGCTTTGCTGGTGCCATAGGGACATGGTCCCAGGTCCAGCGAAATATCCCAAAATGGGTCTATTGTAGTTGAGACTCCACTGAAAATCAATAATACCTGATATCGGAGACATCTACACTCCCTAATAAAACAATCTGAACTCTGCCAGATATATAATCATAATATTTTTGCAGTAATTAAAATTAAATTTACTTTATTTGAGGCTACTGAATACTACACAAGCCTCAAAAGTTGTAATACATTTACTCAGAGAAGACTAAAGACAAAAATTAAATGACAAAGTTGATTTGCTAGTGAGATAAGCAACCAAAAATGTATCTTAACACTACAATAAACCCAAGAACATTATACTATTATTATATTCATGGGGAAGTGTTAAACCCTTGAGTCTCACAGCTCCATGGGCATAAGGTAGATCTAATTCCTTATATCAAAAGTCAATCAGCAGCTTCAAGGCAATTTCCTTGAAGGGATGAGGAATGCCTACAGCTAGCAAACCAAACCACTCTACTCACTTGCATGCCTGACACACAACATCAGACTGAAGTCCACCAGTAAAAATTTGGTCTATAATACAGGAACATGTATGTGTGGAGTCTCCATTGGAGGGAGGATTGCCCTGAAATTAAGGATAGGGTTTTTTTTTTAGAGTAATTTTCTTGCCCTATGGAGTAAAATTTTAAATATCAGACCCTGACACTATTACAAATCAAAATTCCTAGCCAAGTGCTAGAAAAGCTTCCACAATCACTACAATTGAGAAAGATAGTTCCCTGCCCGCTATCATGATGCTCACAGGGTGGGTTACTTGTCTTTATATCCTGCCAAATCCTGAGAGTCTGTCCCATCCTTTTTGGTGGAATACTCTAGTGTCTGTTCTCTGAGTCTGTCACTGCTTCTGCAGTGATTAATAACCCATTCAAGCTCAGTGCTTTCCATGAATATACAACTGTTGCTGCTTGTGCCCTGCTGTAATATGTTCATCTCCTATATTACTGCCACAGTCTTTTTTATCATTCGTTTCTCCTGTTCTGTCTATCCTCATTCACACTTTCTCTTTGATTTTAGAATTTATTTCTTTAGAAAAAAACCGTCTTGCTAGCACCCTTCCAAATACTATTTTAGAGGATGGACTTTGCTGATCAGAACCTCCATTATGTTCCAGTGGACCCCCGAGTTTCATGATTAATCTGTTCCAGAGAGACTGCCATATGGTGAAATTCACGATTGGCGAATCCATTTTCCCCATAAGAAATAATGAAAATCCAATTAATCGGTTTCAGACACCCAAAAGTATTAACAAAAAAATTTTTTTTTTAAAGATTAAATATAGATTTACATACAGAAAACAATGACAAATAAATATAAAGCACTAATAAAATGGATAAATGAACATTTAACATCACACTTACCTTTATTGGCTCTTGGTGTATGGAAGATAGGTAGGAGGGGAGAGGGAGGCAAGTTTATTATGCTTCAATATGATGCTAATATAATCTCTACTGCTTATTTATCTATCATGATTCATCTAATATGACATAATATTAATAACATAGAAACATGATATATACTCTAGAATGAATAAAATATGTCAAAATGTATGTGAGGAGTAAGTGGTGGAAGTGTTGTTGTTGGGTTTATAAGGGTCAGTGAGAGAAGCCGTATATATTAATGGTGGTGGAGGTGGAAGCAGAAGCCACCACCACTATTCACAATGTATGTAATTAATAAATAAGAAATATTTATGTACATTTTAATTTAAAAATAAGAAATATTTACAAATTAATTTATAAATAAGAAATATTTACACTTACTTTGGAGATGTTAGTTTAATTAGTTAGTTTGATGGAGGAGATGCTGGCAGAGGTTTCGGGTGGTAGAAGAGAGCAGGGCAGCATATGTTCAGTGGCCCTATACTACCACCACCACCAACATTGGAGAGTTATTTTCATCCAGTTTTTCTATCCCTTAATCGCTTAACTTACTTGCAACACTGTTAACCCTTTCAGGGTTTCGGCCATACTAGAACGGCTTACACACCAGGGTTTTTGACGTACTAGTACGCCTAAATTCTAGCGCCCTCAAATCTAGTGAGAGAAAGATGGTAGACCTACATATGAAAGAATGGGTCTATGTGGTCAGTGTGTGCAGTATAAAAAAAATCCTGCAGCACACAGTGCATAATGAGAAAAAAAACTTTGACCGTGTTTTTGGATTAAAACAGCGACTTTGCACTGTATTTTCGTATGGTATTTATTGTTGTATTCTAGTTTTCCTGGTCTCATTTTATAGAATGGAAGACATATTACAGAAATTGAGATGATTTTGACTGGTTTTACAATGAAAAGTACCATAAAGATTGCGAGAAGGACTTGGGGGTTATGGTAAGCAGCAACCTTAAACCAAGACAGCCATGCCTAAGCGTACGTAATAAGGCAAACAGATTACTGGGATTTATATCAAGAAGTGTAAGCAACAGAAGTCCAGAGGTTATACTATAGCTTTATGCATCATTAGTAAGGCCTCACCTAGATTATGCAGCTCAGTTCTGGTCTCCATATTACAGAATGGATATAAATTCGTTTGAAAACATTCAGCGAAGAATGACAAAATTAATTCATAGCATTAGAAATCTTCCGTATGAAGAAAGAATGAAGTCCTTTAAATTACATTCACTTGTAAGACGAAGAATGAGATGAGACATGATCGAAGTGTACAAGTGGAAGATGGGTATTAATAAAGGGGATATAAATAAGGTTTCGAGGATATCTCTCCAAGAAAGAACCCGCAATAATGGATTCAAATTAGATAAATTTAGATTTTGAAAGGATATAGGAAAGTATTGGTTTGGAAATAGGGTAGTTGATGAGTGGAACAGTCTGCCTAGTAGGGTTATTGAAGCTAAAATGTTGGGTAGTTTCAAATTTAGGTTAGATAAATACATGAGTGAGGGGTTGGATTTGAGTGGGACTTGCAAAATGAGTAAATAGAATCATCTAGCATTGAAAATTGGGTTGGGCAAATATTTTGTTAGTGGGAAGGACTGTAAAGGACCTGCCTAGTATGGGCCAACAGGCCTACTGCAGTGTTCCTCTTTTCTTGTGTTCTTAAAATGATTACCATTTGCTTTGGAGTATCAACAGGGTATGCTACATTTTGTCAGCAACTGTAATGACAGGAGCACGTTCGTCTGCTATTGTAATTGTATCCAGACTGTGCACACAGGTATTGACATTTACAGTGGCCATGTAAGGAATCCAACAAGTTCATTTACTTGCTGATCTAATGTGTGTGTTCTCATGCTCATATAATGCAACGTGTGTGTTCTCTTCTTTATAAAGCTAGAGACTAATTTATAGTAGCAATGCCACTAACTGCAAGAGCATAGGAGAACATTAAGGGACACACACACTTCTGTAAATGTTTGCCCAAGGTCTGGGGGTATGACAAGCGAGGCTGCAGAGAGTAAGGAGGAGACAGATGTAATATGTCGTCTGCAGAGGAATCAGGAAGAGGATCAGGAAAAGTATGTGTATAGAACACCCAATTTGCATGCTCAACAACCCTGCATCAGCATTCTGAATTATACCTCTGGTAAACCCACACCATCTTCTGATTTCTACACTCCAAATTCTCTGCATAATACACTTAGGATAAGTTGTAATGACTTGATGGGAAAAAAAAAAAAAGAAAAAGGGACATGGATTCAAACCATGGTCCTGATATATAGCAAACCTAACACTGTACCATGAAACTTACAAGCTCAGGGACACAAAATATTAAGCTTCTTGGCTCAGGGGCACAAAATTACACCTGCTACATATTAGAAACAGTCTGAGTACCATCCATTCTTCTGTTTATCCTTTACATAATATTCACACCACACATTGCTCTAAAACATGACATCCCAACTGCCTCTAACAAAGGAGATGTCACTGTAGTGCTTAAGGCCATGCCACTAACCCATACAAGTGATGGTACCATCATATTCAGGGTACATTATTTTTTCCCTCCACAGCCAACTTCCTTCTTTCCACAGATGCCTCAATACACCACCTACTTCCCCCCCCCCTCATCTATCTATTCTATTGTACAGACACACAACCTATTTTTTTTACCATTCCTAATTGTAATACAAAAAACATTAGAATTAATGAACCCCAATTTAACCAACTTTGAAAATACAGAATACAGTCTACTGGATCAATTGATTTGGGAACAATAGACAAAGTTGTCTTATCAAATTTAGGTTGGATAAGTACATGAGTGGGAGGGGTTGGATTTGAGTGGGACTTGCACATCGGAGCTTGTTTCTTGGGTGGCATTGAAAATTGGGTTGGTCAAATGTTTGTTAGTGGGATGAATTGTAAAGGACCTGCCTAGTATGGGCCAACAGGCCTGCTGCAGTGTTCCTCCTTTCTTATGTTCTTATGTTATGTACAATCATAACAAAAACCTCATCTCTATCCACTACAACTGTCATTACCAGCCACCCACCCACTTCTATTATAGCATTATATCAAGGATTTGCTCTTAACTCTTTCACTATCAAGACCCCTGCTCACAAACTTGCTCTTGGTATTGAAGAAATAAAAAATTCTGGATGGTAATGAAACCAAAAGTACAAAATTTGATGAAAAACTTATTTAATTATGCTCTTGCGAAGGTAGCAGTCTCGGCAATATTTATGCATCGACAACTTCACCCACTTTGAGCCCTATTTTTGGCCAATTCCATTGTTCCAGTCAACCAAACTCATAGCTATTTCACTAGAACTCCTTTTGTTCTATTGACTGAGTAAAAAAAAAAAAAAAACATCCATTTACTGATTTAAACTACCCAATAAAGTGATCAGAAACTGGTAATGTGGCCAATTTCATACACATTTTGAGGAAGGCCAGATTCAAAATACGGTCCAGAATTAACAATGCAAACATTCCTAGCACTAAATTAACATTTTCTCTGTTCATTAGTCATATTTCCAGGCACCTCTAATATTATACTTGTTATGCATACTACTGCATTATTGTAAAAATGGTATAAATAATATCAACGCATTTGGGAAAGCATATTAGACCCACCAGTTGGCATGTATTGGATGCGTGATGTGATTTTTGTTTACTCTTGAACATTGACAAAAATTTAATATTTCCGTTACTGTGAGCTCAATTTCAAGATACCTTTAGTCCATAAACCATTCAAAATCATCTCTATTTCTGTAATATATGTTCCATTCTACCAAACGAGACCAAGAAAATGAGAATACAAGTGTAAATACTATACGAAAATACACCACAAAGTTGCTGTTTTAAACCAAAAACACTGTTGTTTTTTTCCTCATTAAGCACTATGTGCTGCAGGATTTTTTGTATACTGTGCACACTGGCCACTCAGACCCATTCTTTCACATGTCTGCCTACCAGATTTCTCCTGTAAGATTGGAAGCCGCTAGAATTTTGGTGTAGTATTACAGGACAGACAATGAATGGGTCAATTACCATGCCCTAAGCAACCAAGCAAACTTCCCTGACTAACATTACTAAGTCACGAATATTTAAGCTTCATTAACCCTTTCAGGGTTTCAGACGTACTAGTACGGCTTACGCACCAGGGTTTTTGACGTATTTGTACGCCTAAATTCTAGCGCCCTCAAATCTGGTGAAAGCTGGTAGGCCTAATATGAAAGAATGGGTCTATGTGGTCAGTGTGCGCAGTATAAAAAAAAATCCTGCAGCACACTGTGTAATGAGAAAAAAAACTGTTTTTGGATTAAAACAGCGACTTTGCACTGTATTTTCGTATGGTATTTATTGTTGTATTCTAGTTTTCCTGGTCTCATTTTATAGAATGGAAGACATATTACAGAAATTGAGATGATTTTGACTGGTTTTACAATGAAAAGTACCTTGAAATTGAGCTCAAAGTAGCAGAAATGTTTGATTTTGGGGAAATTTATTTGGAAATTGGCATCTTTTGAAATTTGTGTGAAATTGGCAAAATTGCTAAATACTGACCACTGCATTGGATAGCTGAAATCGGTAAATGGGTGGTTTCTTGTACTCATTCGATAGAAAAGATGGAGTTCTAGCGAAATATTTATGATTTTTGTTGACCAGTACACTGGAATTGGCCGAAAATAAGGCTCAAAGTGGGGAAAATCGCCAATGCGTAAACATCGTCGAGACCACTAACTTCGTGAGAGCATAATTCTGTAAGTTTTCCATCAAATTTCATACTTTTGGTGTCATTATGATCGGGAAAACATTTTCTATCTTTTCGTAAGAAATAATAATTTTTTTTTTTTTGAAATTTGGGTGACCCTGAGAACAAGTCTGGGAGAGGGCCTGGGGACCCTGAAAGGGTTAATACCTTTATTATTACCATTAATTTCATTTTTAATTTCACTGTCTAGTTATGTACAGTAACTACAGTATTCTAAATTTCTTTGAACCACTTTACAATTACAATACCTAAATTAGCTAATCCCACCTTAAGAAAGCTTGCAGCTCTACTTAAGCAAAGTTTGTAACTTTACTTCACTTGCAACCCCAGCAATCATACAAACTTATCCTCGTGTTTTGTAGTGTCCAATATAAAATGCTAGTATGTAAATAAAAAAAATTTGTTCGAAACAACTGCATTGTTGTTATCAATGTGCTGCAATATATTAACACTGACTTACCAATTTGTCAGTATTTTAACTGTTTATGAAGTTTAAAATTTTAATACAAATCTTAGTACAAAATTTTGTGCAACTGTATGTACATCAACTGTATACATACTTTCCCTTTTTAAGCCTCAGTAATGCCAAAACAATGCTCAGAGGGCTTCATAAATCTCATTCTGCTATCCCATTACTGGATCCTAATCTCCAGGCAACAAATATGATCCACTTTATTTGCAAATGAAATTAATCATTTAATTTTTAACAATCACAGTACCACTGAAGCCCTAAAAAAAAAAAAAAATCAATTTTTAGGTCACCCTGCCTCAGTGGGACACTGCTAGTGTATTAAAAAAAAAAAAGAAAACTAGAAAATGCATGTAGTGTGGTACCTGGCAATGGCGATGCAAGACATCAAGGGCTGCGATAAAGAACTCGTGTGCATCCTGCTGCTCATAACCTGCCAAGTGTCTGGCATGAGTCCATATGAGGTGAAGCAGTTTGTGGAGGATCAAAGGAGCTTTGTTCCCACTGTAGAACTAAAACAATGCACTTCTTATAACAAAAGATTGTATAGGAAAATCATTATACTGTTCACCCATTTAAAATACACAATAAAGGTATTCAGTAATAAACTTTCTGAATCAACATTTAAAAGAAAATTTCACATAGGCATGGCAACATAGACAATGATCCCTAGAATTAATTGAAGAGATATACAGTATAACATATTACACATATGGTATATAGTTACTGCTTAACCCTTAAACTGTCCAAGCAGATCTACGTTCACATGCGTAGTGCTCCAAAAGTAGATCTACTTTTTTTTTTTACATATTTTCAAATATATATAAAAAAAAAGTAGATTAAAGTTTTTTACATGTTTTCAAATGTAAAAAAAAAAGAATCTACCTTTTTTACACTTTCAAATGTTGAAAAAACGTATATATATGTTTGGACCGTTTACGGGTTAAAATAACTGTACAAGCATATATGAACACAAATACATATTCTCCAATAGTTCGCCAAATAAATAATTTGTCATCTATTGCCTTTCTACATACATCGCAAGCTCTAGTCTCTTCAGACAGTTTTATAATTTACACCCACATAATATACAAATAGTTGTTCCTCACCTTCCAAAAATACTTGCAGCAAATTGAAGCTTTCTTGAAATATTCTTAAACTTATTTTCTAAAGGAAAAAAAAGGCACAATACCATAATTGAGGGTTATTTATGTATTATTTTCTAAAATCAAAATGAGGAAATAAGATGACTCTTACTATGAACAACTTTCTGCTCTAAATACTATTTTAACCCTTTCATGGTTCAGAGGCCAAATTTCTAAGTGTGCACCAGTGTCCAAGAATTTTCAAAAAATAATTGTTATTTTTTTTATGAAATGGTAGAGAATCTTTTTCTGAAGGTAATAAAACAAAAAGTACAAAATTTGATGGAAAATTGATGAAATTATGCTCTCGCGAATTTTGATGTGTCAGCGATATTTACGCATCGGTGATTTTGCCAACTTTGACTCCCATTTTAGGCCAATTACATTATGCCAGTTGACCAAATTCTTAGCTATTTCACTAGTATTATTTCTATTCTATCAATTGAGCACAAGAATTCATCAAGTCAACTGTTTCAACTACAAAATAAAATGTGATGAATGGTTTGAAAAACCGACAAGTTGAAGATTGAGACACTTATGCAGCATATGGGAATCTTTATTCAGGAAACGTTTCGCCACACAGTGGCTCCATCAGTCCAATACAAAGAGGAAGGCGTAAGGAGAGGAGGAGTATGAGGTAATCAGTCCCTCAGCCTGGAGTCGATGTGTTCAGTCCATCAATCTTGTAGAATGATCGGAAATTGGTAATTTGGCCAATTTACTGTAAAGTTCAAAATACTCCAATTTCAAAATAGGGTCCAGAATAAACAATGCAGGCATTCCTGGCACTAAACTAACATTTCCTCTTTTCGTTAGTTACATTTTCAGGTTTTACTAATGAATTCCATTTAGATTTTTTATTCACAATGAATTTTTATTCAAACTAAAAAATAGGAGATTTACTGTTATGCAATATTGTAATAATTGTATAAATAATATCTCCACATTTGTGAACGTATATTAGACCCACTAGCTGGCGTGTATTAGACGTGTGAGGTCATTTGTTTACTCCTGAACATCGGCAAAAATTTAACATTTCTGCTAATTTGAGCTCAGTTTCAAGCCATTTCTAGTATTAAAACCAATCAAAATCATCTCTGCTTCTGTAATATATCTTCCATTCTATCAAATGAGACCAAGAAATCACAAATACAACTACAAAAAACATACAAAAAAAACACTGCAAAGTTGCTGTTATAATAAAAAATTACGGTCTCAGTTTTTTTCTTTTATTATGCACTATGTGCTGCAGGATTTGTTTTATGTTGTGCACACATACCACATAGATGTATTCTCTCATATCTAGGTCAAAATTTACCGCTCACAGCTTATCAGAGTGAGCTGAGCTCATGGCGTAGATCTACTGTTTGGACCCTCAAAGGGTTAAAGCTAAAAAAAAAAAAAAAAAAAAAAAAAAAGTGATGCTCCTCTGGTAATAAAATGTATCAAAAATACAAATCTATGAACTTATAATTCACAGTTTACATAATAAAACTATGTATATGAAAGCATATTAAAATATTAAGTTTTTCAGTCTATATTAGGAGGACAATGGTTCATTCCATTATCAAAACAAAATCAACCAGTACATGCATTTTTTGTTTTTATTCTTTCTTTTTAACTTAAAATTATCAGATCTGGAACCCAGTTTATACCATATCTTGTGACTTTTCCTATTTTGTTCACTTGTTTTTCATGAGGGAAGTACCACTACTGTTAATTCTGATTTTTGCCTTATTCTTCACCATTTTGCCATCCATACATCTGAATGCTATTTTGAAATTTGCCAATGTAGTAAAGGGATTTCTAAATTGGTTACTGTGAGGGGGGAAAAGCCATTAGTAATTGGGGTTAGGGTTGTTCAGACAGCCAGAAGCTATTAGCGGGTTACAGCCCGCACTTCCATCTAGTGGGCTGAGGCGAAACTCAAGTTCCTGGTGTCTGATGTGCTTTAATTTCTACTCCTGGTAGTTTTAACCTTACCTGGTGTGGATTGAAATTTGGAGAGTCACTTCATCTCCACTCTTCTCCTGATCTTGTAAGGTGATCTACCAGGAGTATTTCTATTTTTTTTTTTTTTTTTTATGGTTACCAGTAATGACTAAGACTGAATACCACCTTTTCTCTTTCTTGAATGTTGTATTTGTATAACTTTCGGTAACCAGTTTATTGTCTTTATTATCAGTTCTGCTGCTGGCCTGGTCATCCAGGGTAGACGCCAAGATTACTGGAGCAAGATACCTGTCCACTGAACTTAGTAAGACATTACAACTACTCCTCACCCCCATCATCATACTTGTGGTTCTTCAACCAAGTAGTAATAGGAGATTCCAGAACATCAGATGAATACCACTGCCCAGGATAACCTACACCATTTCTTCAACATCAGAAAACCATCCTGGGAATACCACTGCCCAGGATAACCTACACCAATTCTTCAACATCAGAAAACCATCCTAGGCTTTACACACTCCTGCACCAACATCTTGTTATTATCACAATGGCCAGTTTTTATTCTTATTTAATTTTAATTAACCCTTTCAGGTCCAGAGGATAAATTTCTAAGTGTGCACCAGGGTCCAAGAATTTAAAAAAAAAAGAAAAACTTATGGGAGAATCTTTTTCTGAATGTAATAAAACAAAAAGTACAAAATTTGATGAAAAACTGACGAAATTATGCTCTCGCAAATTTTGATGTATCAGCGATATTTATGCATCGGTGATTTTGCTGACTGACTCCCATTTTAGGGCAATTACATTATTCCAGTCGACCAAATTCTTAGCTATTTTACTAGTATTACTTCTATTCTATCGACTGAGCACAATAAATCACCAAGTCAACTGTTTCAATTACAAAATAAATTGGAAATTGTTAATTTGGCCAATTTTATGCAAAGTTCAAAATATTCCAGTTTCAAAATAGGGCCCAGAATAAACAATGCAGGCATTCCTGGCACTAAACTAACATTTCCTCTGTTCATTAGTTACGTTTTCAGGCTTTACAAAAGAATTCCATTTTAATTTTTTATTCACAATGAATTTTTATTCAAACCAAAAAGTAAAAGATTTACTGTTATACAATGTTGTAATAATTGTATAAAAAATATCACCATATTTGTGAATGTATATCAGACCCACCAGCTGACGTGTATCAGACGTGTGAGGTCATTCGTTTACTCTTGAACATCGGCAAAAATTTAACATTTCTGCTATTTTGAGCTCAATTTCAAGCCATTTCCAGTACTAAAACCAATTAAAAATCATCTCTATTTCTGTAATATATCTTCCATTCTATCAAATGAGACCAGGAAATCACAAACATAAAAATATATACGAAAAAACACTGCAAAGTTGCTGTTTTAATCGAAAATTACGGTCTCAGTTTTTTTCCTCTCATTATGTACTGTGTGCTGCAGGATTTGTTTTATGTGGCACACACACATACCACATAGATGTATTGTCTCATATCTAGGCCCAAATTTACCACTCACAAATTATCAGTGAGCTGAGCTCATGGAGTAGAACTAAGGTTTGGACCCTCAACTCAAAACCGTAGAACTATGGCACGGACCCTGAAAGGGTTAAAAGCCTTGAAAAACAATCTTCCTTATTATACCTTGAGTCAATTTTTTTTTTTTTTTTTGATCAGGCAGAAGGCTTTTTCCTGACATACATGTGATCTTATGATAAAGCTTTGCTTATAATTACTCTCTGAATCTCCTCTCTGACACTTCCGTTCTTAATACACAATCTACTGAATATTCAACTGGAATGTAATTGCTCTCTTATTTTCATAGTAAATTTTTTTTTTACATAAATTCAATCACTGATATCCCCTCTACTAAACTTACCAGTCATTTTTTTGCAAGGATTTAGTCATTTTTATTACTAACCTGTACTTCACCTAGGATTTTTTGCACCATAAAAAAAATGCTCATAGTGCTTTTGTTCCTTCTGGCAAGTCAATTAGAAAAGTAGAAGATATGGGAAAAATTGGATTACATTCCAGACAAATTAAATGGGGAAGTGGAACAGAATCTTTCCTCCGTAAGCCATGAGTGTCGTACTTAAGAGGCGACTAAAATGCCAGGAGCAAGGGGCCAGTAACCCCTTCTCCAGTATAAATTGCCAAAGCCCTAATTTGACACTTTTATTAAATTAATTCAGATATTGGTCTCTATGCAATAACTAGAGAAAATATTTTATGACTGACTTTCAACTTTTAAAGCTGGTGTGAAAGGTTTGAATTAGTTTGCAGAAGTGTTAGTACATTTTTGCAATTTATTGAAGAAATTGGGACACTAGTTTCCATACCACAACTTGAAAATACCTCTTGATTGGCTTCAAAACTTCAAATGCTGATGTTT